GAAAAAGTATGTGAACCCTTTGGATTACCTGGATTTCTGCATAAGTTGGTCATAAAATGTGTTCTGATCTGCACGTTTGAAGTGTTGCAAAAGAGCACCTGGATTTTCCACAGCACTACTGGCAACATATTCTGTGGACAGATGAAACCAAAGTTGAGTTGTTTGGAAGGAACACACAACGCTATGTGTGGAGAAAAAAAGGCACAGCACACCAACATCAAAACCTCATCCCAACTGTGAAGTATGGTGGAGGGAGCATCAAGGTTTGGGGCTGCTTTGCTGCCTCAGGGCCTGGACAGATTGCCATCATCGACGGGAAAAATGAATTCTCAAGTTGATCAAGACATTTTGCTGGAGAACTTAAGGCCATCTGTCCACCAATTGAAGCTCAACAGAAGATGGGTGATGCAACAGGACAACGACCCAAAGCACAGAAGTAAATCAACAACAGAATGGCTTCAACAGAAGTAAATACGCCTTCTGGAGTGGCCCAGTCAGAGTCCTGACCTCAACCCAATTGAGATGCTGTGGCATGACCTCAAGAGAGCGATTCACACCAGACATCCCAAGAATATTGCTGAACTGAAACAGTTTTGTAAAGAGGAATGGTCCAAAACTCCTCCTGACCGTTGTGCAGGTCTGATATGCAACTATAGGAAACGTTTGGTTGAGGTTATTGCTGCCAAAGGAGGGTCAACCAGTTATTCACTCCAAGGGTTCACATACTTTTCCCACCCTGCACTGTGAATGTTTACATGGTGTGTTCAATAAAAACATATAATTGTTTGTGTGGTTTTAGCTTAAGCAGACTGTGTTTGTCTATTGTTGTGACTTAGATGAAGATCAGAACATATTTTATGACCAATTTATGCAGAAATCCAGGAAGTTCCAAAGGGTTCACATACTTTTTCTTGCAACTGTAGGTCTGCCTCTGCTGTCCCACAATACTTCAACATTTTGTATTTTGACACATTTTTAAACTTGAACCAATGTTGTGCTTTCTGCTATTTGAATTTGAACTAGTCCTTATCGCGATTTGGATAACATTTTGAATAATTGTGCAGCCCTACTCACATTGTTTATATTTTACTGTCTCTCTTTCAGCGCTGCTATTGGAGTGACATGTTCACAGGTCGCCTGCGCTCTGAGATCCCACCGGCCCTGGTGATAGTCTTCTCCTTTGATATCATTAACCTTTTTAAAGCAGGTTTTCTTACCCTATTTATCCTTCCATTTGTCTTATCTCTTTCTCCCCTCGTGATGTAGAATTCTCTGGGTGACGCTCTGATGCTGGCGAACGCCCGGCTGACAGTTTTAGACCTCAGTGACAACGCCTTCGGTCCCGACGGGGTGAAGGGCATCGAGAGGCTGCTGAAGAGCACCGCCTGCTACACCCTGCAGGAGCTGCGGCTCAACAACTGTGGCATGGGCATCGGAGGGGGAAAGGTACGTCAACAGTAACCTACACCAGTTTGTTTCTGCTTATACAGTTTGCCATCTCAGGAGTATATATGTGTTCGACTGTCATATAAAACCAAATACAAATAGATGTGGTTGTAGTGGAGCATTTGCCAAAGTAACATTTAGATATAACTCCACTAGTGAACAGTTTTGTGTCAGGGTATATACCTTTCTTTCCTGTGTAATTGTATATCATTCAGTCTGTTTTGCCTCTTGCATTACTGCTGGGTATTTGAATAAGGATTGGGTATCATGACAGAGAGGGAGATGGTTTCTGATGTATTTATAGCAGCCTTAAGGAAAAGAAAAGCAGAAATGTTCACACCTGTTTTCATGGACTCAGATCTTGGCTGCCGCGTTGATCCAGTGCTATAAGACCTCCAGTGCAGAGGGCACCCCCCTCGGCCTGAAGGCCTTCGTGGCAGGGAGGAACCGTCTGGAGAACGAAGGGGCCACCGCTCTCGCTCAAGCCTTCAAGGTACAGAACTTACTTCTAATCCACCATACTTGTTGCGAGGTGCTGTTATTGTAGACATACTGCTAAAGATCTCAGAGAAGGTGGAGTAATCTTAGCATTTACCTTCTGTGTTCCAAGCTGATGGGCAGCCTGGAGGAGATCAACGTGCCGCAGAACGGTATCAATCACCCGGGCGTCACGGCGATGGCTGAAGCCGTGCAGAACAACCCCAACCTGCGCATCCTCAACCTCAACGACAACACCTTCACTGAGAAGGGGGCCATCGCCATGGCACAGGTACTGACCTCACACTGGTATCATTACTGAAGGTAGCTGAGGGACAGTTTCTGACCTGGTTGAAAATGATTGTTGAAAAATGTATTTAGTTCAACTGATGCTTACCTCGCTTCTTATCGTCAACCCTTAATCAATACGCCATCAAATGTATCATTTCTGAGAAAGGGAAGTCCCCTCGAATGTCTTAAGCCAATAAGTCGTTATTTAATGCTTTTATTCCCTTCATTCCAACTCATGAGCCCATCGCTGGTAAACACAAGATTTAAAGTGCTGCTTTTGCATGATCTGTTTTTGAGGAACTCACTTTTATTGATAAGATCCTTAAGTGTCTTCAAGAATAACCTACAGTTCTAAATCATAGATTGTAAAAACACGTTTAAAGGTCGTAAGTAGTTTAATTGCCGTTTCAACAGTAAAATACGTTTTTAAAAACATTGTTTATGTCAAATAATGATCAGTACAGCTTTAAAGGTGATAAACAAGGAATTACATTTCTTAAATATTTTATTATATTTTTGAAAATGATTCAGCAAATATTCTGCTTTTGTTTCAGTTCTTCTGCTAATAATAATAATAATAATAATAATAATAATAATAATAATAATAATATTTGTTCTGGGTTTGAAGCTGTAGTGAATAACCTCCGTGTCCTTCACAGGCTCTGAAACATCTCCGCAGCATCCAGGTGATAAACTTTGGAGACTGTCTGGTGCGGCCGGCAGGAGCCATCGCCATCGCAGAAACTGTATCAGAGGGACTACCAATACTAAAGGTAAATGAATGCTAGGGCTGCACGATATTGGAAAAACCTGACATTGCGATATTTTTCCCCCCTGCGATATATATTGCATTTTTTCCGCAAACCATCCTTTCTTGAACTTTAATGCTATACGATTGGTATTTTTCTAACTATATTTAACCGGATGAAGGATTTTAGTCACGGACGTCTGGATCTTGAGTTATCAGCAACAAGCTGAGCTAGCTCGGTTAGCAGCGCCGAACTGGAGAAACACATGAAACGACTTTATTCAGTGTTGTTACCTTTAATCACCGGGTCCGGTTGCTTTGGAGATTTGATTGTGATTGGTGGTTTGCTGTCACTCACTCAAGTACCCCTGACATGAGAGCCGCGCAAGTTTTCCTTTTGTAGCAAGCAGCAAAATAATTCTAACATGACGTGTTTGAGTTAATTTGCCTACTTAATATCACACGTCCTAAAAAAAATAAAGATTAATAATAATATAACATTTGCACGTCCTGCGATGTGAATATCGCGCATACGTATATCGTGATTATCGTCACGACACGATATATCGTCCAGCCCTAATGAATACTACACTGATCTAATCTGAGGAGATTTGTGTTGTAATGTAATTTACTCAATCTAAATGCCAATAGACACATACTACTGAGGATGTAAGGGACCACCTGAATATAGAGTGTGGACTGCTACTTGGAGAGGTCCCAGTTCACTTCCTGCCCTGCCGTGGTGCTCTTGAGCAAGGCACCGGACACCCCCTTCCCCCCCACTCCCATTGCTCTCCGGGTGCTGTACAATAGCTGCCCACTGCTCCTAGTACTAGCCTCCTGATGCTAGGATGGGTTAAAAGCAGAGAACACATTTCACTGTGTGCTCTGCATGTGAGACAATTAAAGAGGGGTTCATCCCTCCCAATATTATCT